AAACATTCGGCTACATTTACAACTAAATATTTAAACGCAAACTTACAAAACCTCTTATAGGATCTACATTTAGTACGCGAATCAGAGATTCGTCGGATTTTTAACACACCACGTGGTCGAGACAATATTCAATATTTCCTTTTGAATTCTATATACACACACACAATAATAAATATATTCAATGCATTAAACATTTACTTTTGTGTTTTAATAGATTGTTGTGGACCTGTTTAACAAAATTGAGCTGATAAACTGACCAATTTTATCGATAGCAACGCGAGCAATTAAAGGCAATGTTGTCGTGGGGGATTATTTGGCCATACTTCACCACGCTGGTCAATTCGGGTTTGTGGATGCGGGATGATAGCATAGATGTGGGAGCAAATGAAGTACAATACAAAAAATACATAACTGTACATCCTTCGTTAGATTAAAGTAAATCTAAGATTTATTTACATTTTTAGTGTTTACTCAAGGCTTTACGCATTCAAATTCTCTAAAATGTATTAGTTATATTTTTTTCGCAATGGACAATTGCGTCAGCAGCTAATATATATAAGTAAAGTATCATCCTTTACCAACCTGTATTGATGAGCGCGGTAAAATATGATCAAACAACAATTATCCCCCCGTATAGCCTAAACAGACTGTTGGGGAAAGTGCTGTTAGCGAGTAGCACTTATGAATGCCGGCACGGCACACGAGGGGGTGGGTGGCTAACACGACGCCCGGCCGCCTTTGTCCCCCGAGTGGCGATGGTTACTACACACCGCATCAGCTACTCATTGGAGGTTTAAATCGACCGAGGGGAGGTCCAGGACCGGTTCAGATAACCGTCCCTGGAGTTGGTGGCCGCGAGCGGGAATCGAACTCGAGTCGCCGGGTTCGGAGCGCAGTGCGCCAACCGCTGCACAACCCACACGAGCGACACGACGTGGAGAGGCAATCATCCAGCAGTGGATTAACAAAGAACCCTGGAGTTGTGCTTCCGTGTGCTTGTGGTGGTTAACAAGTGGCATGGCTAACAAGTAATTCCCTGCTGCGCCACGCTGTGTCAACTATACAAGCGTGGTGGATATTTGACCATACTTCACCCACGCAGATCATCAAACTCGTTATCGAGGATATCTAAAACTAAAAACTTTACTTTTTAGTTTTTTTTTTTCTATCAGGTCAGAAGCGACCTGGCCACAAGTGATAGCTCAAACGAAGCGGCTTATCGTGCGTAAATTTATGGCAACTAAAATATCCGTGGTCTTGAATCGAACTCAGGTAGCCGGGTTGGATAGCGCAACAAGACAAAACCACTTGCACCACCGCTCTGCCCCCCCCCCCCCCCGGCTAATCTCACTGCTATCGCGAAGCAACACACAGTGCTCGACGCTTCGCGTGTGCTATTTGGGCTGGAGCGGTGGGAACAAGTTGTGTTATCACACTCCGCTGTGAATTTGGTTACCCGAGTTCAATTCTCGACCACGGCCAAAGTTACTATGGGAGTGCAGGCGTGTGATTTTAAACCACTCCTGCGTGTCTTTCTCGCTCGCTCTCTCTTCACTAACCCCGCACTGTTCTTCGTGGTGAAGAATGGTTAAACGACCAAAGACTCCACCGTATAGCTTTAACAGACTGTTGGGGAAAGTGCTGTTAGCGAGCGCCTGTGAAGGCCGGAACGGCACACGAGGGGGCGGGTGGCCAGCACCACGCCCGACCGCCTTTGGCTCCCCAGTGGCGAAGTTTACACACCGCACCAGGTACTCGTTTGAGGCCGAGCCGACTTTGGGGAGGCCCAGGACCGGTTCTATCACGACCACCATGGCCATCACTTTCATCCACGCAGCAGTGCATTGACAAAAGGCTGCACATTATGACTGCGATTATTGCAATTGGTGAATGTGATTTGGTGAATGTGGATTGTAAGGTCGCATTGTAGGACATAGAGAGAGAGTCGTGGGGGGGGGGGGGGGGGGGGGGGCAACTCGCAGACAGACGGCGGCCCTGGAGGACACGCAAGGCCGAATCTGCACGGGGCGCGTGTTTATTGATCGGCCGCCGGGCCCCGGGACACTTTTTGTCCCGGAATGCGCGTGGCTTGAGTGGCGGCGGTGAGCCACTCGTTGGATTGTTCCCCTTTATGTGAAATACCGACCGTATAAGATCTCCCCGGGCTTGTCCATAAGCACACTCAGTGTGGCTTCCTGGATAAATACACTCGTCGTGTGTGAGATACAGCCATGATGAGCCAGTCAACTGATAAGTGAGGCCCTACCCACGCCGTGCGGTTCCTGGGGGATTTTGTTTGACCATACCTCACCACGCTGGTTTGATCTCCCACGAAGCTCATGGTCCACCCTAAATCGCATCCACTGCACAAACCATGGCAGAAGTTGCGGATACCTGATGCACAAATGACAAATTAAAACCTTTCCATTCCCGATCGCCTAATACGAAGGAGACATCACAGCGTTACACTCCGCTACTCCTGACGCGGTGATCTGGCTTGACCACCTGAACGTTAAATTGGAGCTGTTGCTCTGCGTCTACATCAGCAGCCGTAAGAAAGAAGACTGTTGAATCAGCCCCCCCACCCCTAAACTCGACCAATCGATTGATCATACTACAAATGTTACCCAGGTAATAGTACATATGTGGCCCAAATATTAGTTGGTCGAGTTTATTTCACACGGTGAGGACCCGTTTAGACCTGAAGTGTATCTCTTGCGAGAGTGGCCTGGGACAACAATTTGGTCCGCATCACGGCTGAGAACGCAGCAGGACGGAGCTTCAGGCACCAACTCGAGGCGTCCCTTTGCACGTGATCGACACAACGAGGTGGTGGCGTTTGAATTATTCAACATAGATATTATTACTTTCATTCGTCCATAATAGAGGTTTTTGGGTTAGATCGCGTAAATGTATAAATGTGTCGTTTAAACCCGCCACCACCCGACACAGCCAACTAGTAAGGGTTGTCACGTAAACAGAACGTGGCCAATTCGTCACTAGCACAGCACACCGGTGTGTTGGAGAGCCAAGCCACAACATTTACAAATCTGGCTGTCGCCTGATGAAGCTAGTTGCAATTACTGGCGAAACGTCTTACTCAGTTTGTAAATGTTGTGGCTTGGCTCTCCAACACACCGGCGTGCTGTACGAGTGACGAATTGGCCACGTTCTGTTTACGTGACAACCATTACTAGTTGGCTGTGTCGGGTGGTGGAGGGTTTTAACGACACATTTATATATTTATGCGATCTAACCCAAAAACCTCTATTATGGATGATATTGCTCGCGAAAGCCTACGTAATGAACTACTTTCATTCGATCCTTCTCTTTCCTCCATGTAAATAGCACATTGAGCACAGGGCACCTATGTACCGTAGCGGTGGTTAGCACGCTGCGTGATAAACTCGGATGCCTAAGTTAGATTTCCGACGATGGATAATGATATCATTGGCAAGTGGCATCTGTAATATTTCCTGGGCCACATTTGTAGTATTTCCGAGGCCACATATTTAGTATTATCTGGGCCACATCTTTAGCATTACCTAGGCCACATATTTAGTATTATCTGGGCCACATATTTAGTATTATCTGGGCCACATCTGTGGCATTACCTAGGCCACATATTTAGTATTATCTGTGCCACATATTTAGTATTTTCTGGGCCACGTCTGTAATATTTCCTGAGATGACGGTTGGCTACGTGCGGTGCGAAAAAAGTTCAACATGCATACGTCATCAGTAACGCATTCTTTCTTGCGTTAAACGCATTTAGATGTCAAGTTAATGCACGATAACCAAAATTATATTAATTGTTGATTTAAAGCTTTCGTGACTGCAGTAATTCATATTCTTAGCTATTTCGGTAAAGTGACACCTGACGACGACGACCGTTTGTGTTATGGTCGAAACGTCGTGAGAATTTTTATTGTTTTATATATATTTTATTATTTTATTGTTTCCCTTCAACGTGACCTTATCGAAAGAGCTAAGAATATATATTAATTGTATTTAAGATTGTTCATAAAGCAGCATACACACACTAATGGCGGGTGTCATAACGAAGATATTCCAGTTCAAAGGTATTAACCTATGTTGTGCACGTGTGTGAATTGTGTGTATTTCACACCATATTCAGTAACATATATGTATACATATATGCTGCATACACATCTAATCCATATCTGAGCGCGCTTTCATCTGACAATGCGACCTTATCGTTAATTACCTACGACTGTCTATGCGCACAGCGTGGTGAAGTATAGTCCAGCACAACCCTACTGATGAGACGCCTTGTCTGGAAGCCGGTCCAGAGTTTTGTTCGTCTTGATTGAGCACTGCTGAAATTACGCGCTCCCAGACGAGGGCCGTATTAGAAATCCTTGATATGTTTTGTGTGTCTGGGCAGACGTATATGTGCAGACACAGTGTAGCGGTTAGCGCTACGCTTCGCTACGAACCCGGGCGCCTCGAGTTCGATCCCTGCTCACGGCCAACATCAGTGACGATTACCTGAACCGGTCCTGAGCCTCCCCTAGGTCGACTCAGCCTCAAATGAGTACCTACTGCGGTGTGTAGTAAACATCGCCACTAGGGAGACAAAGGCGGTCGGGCGTGGTGCTGGCCACCCACCTCCCCGTGTCTCGTTCCGGCCTTCATAGGTGCTTTCCCCAAACAGTCTCTTAAGGATATATAGGGGATCTTTGTTTTTATATGTTGCGGACGACGTTGTAGATTTTACTTTGCCTACTGCCCGGCAACAAACAGCCGTGCGTAGCCGTGGGTTGACAAACAAAAGGGCTGATAAAGATCGCCTTCGTTACAGCGCCGCTATCACATCGCCATTGTATGCGCGGGTCTGGCAGATATGTCTAAGCCGAGTCACGACTCGCCACAATCGCGGGAGAAGTTCATCCCCGGATAGACACTGGCCGGGGGTGGGAGGTGAGGAGCCGAAGGAGGAGCAGGAGGAGAGTCGGGTGGAAGAGGAGGGGGGGGGGGGTGGTTGGATTCTGAAGCGAGGCGAAATAAAAAATAAACATCAGCCAATAGAAGAAGGGGCGAGGGAGCAACTCTTCTGGTTGTTGGCTTTCTTTGCCAGGACGGAAGGAAACGCGCGCATTCAACTCCGCCTCTGAGCGGCTGCGCGCGCGCGCGACAGAAGCGCCTCGCGACTTTCGTGGCGCCCCGCGCTCACAACAGCCACTGGCGCACACGGCTCGCTCGCCCGACGACAACACAGCCAACGGGGTGACGAGCTGGAGGAGGAGGAGGAGGCGGCGGCGGTGGTGGTGGTGGTGAGTTTCAGAGCCACGCGAGGTGAGGCGAGGAAGGAGAGGGGTGGGGTGGGGGTGGGGGGACGGGGAAGGATTTGACCCTCCGCCGGCTCCCATCCCGTCACCACCCGGGGCATCGCTCGCCCATCGCCAGTCGGGACGACTCCCCCCCCACACACCCCCCCGGGGTTGAGCACGGCCATGCAGTTCCCGCACGCGTCGCCTCCTCCCGCGCCGCTCCGCGTGCCGCTGTACGCGCCGACCCCGGTGCAGGTGGCCCACCCGACACCCTTCTTCATTGAGGACATTCTGAGACGCGACGGCGTGGGCTGCGCTAGCGGCGTCGACGAGCGCGGCAGGAGGCGTCCTCCCCAGCCGCCTCTGCCGCCGCTCCAGACCTCGCCCCCGGGGGCCCCTCCGGCCGCGGCCGCCACCCTGCACCCGTCTCCCAACTCGTCCTTCACGTCCGTGACGCCCGGCTACAGGGGCGCGCCGGTGACCTACGGCGAGATGACCGCCGTGTCGGGCCACCACGCTCACGCGGCCGCCGCTGCTGCTGCGGCCGCCGTGGCCGCCGGGTACCCTTCGCACGGGCAGCCGCTCGCCTACGCGGCCACGCTGGGCTTCCCGGGACACCTGTACCCCTACCCGCGCACGGCGCTCGAGTTCGGGCATCCCCTGCTGGGTCGGCACGACCACCTCGGTGAGTAACACCTCACCCCTTGCTCTCCCCCCCCCCCTCTCTCCGCCTCTCTCCCCTCCCGTGAGATCGAAATTTCAACTCAACTATATATAGTTTTTTTGGTTCTAAACCATGTAAGGCCCACTGAGCTATATCGATATTTTTCAGAAGCGACCTTGACCACAAATGGTAGCTCAACGAAGTGGCTTATCACGTGGAAATGTCTAGTGGCAGCCAAACAACTCTCAACGCGTGATGTTGAGTCGAAATGCGGAGGGGAAACCCGGAGGACCCGGAGAAAACCCACGCGACCACAGGAAGAACACGCAAACTCCAAACATACAGGCATCGTCAGGGTCGGGGTCAAACCCACGACCTCCTGCATACCAGGCGAGGTAGTTAACATCTGACCATCGTGGCTCCCCGAGAAGAGCGCCTACGTACGAAATCGGAATCAGAATCTCCATGTAGACTGGAGGAGGAATCTGATGAGCTATGAAGCTCTTTCGTCACAGATGCCCAGTATTTTTCACAGACGTCGAGTAAATTAAACCGGGAATGCACGTGTTTAGATGATGCTGCCACAGCGGTGGTGACACACTGGACTTGCAATCCACACAGAACGCGTGCCGCAGCCCGCGACTAACACATTAGATGCACCGAGCGTGTGAGATGCAGGGGTGTAGTTAGTAGTGGACGACAACCAACCCTATGAGCGGAGGATTTGAGCCCAGCGAGAGAGCACCTCGCATTGGTCACCGCTGCGAGGTGTGGCCAGGCGATGGCAGTGCCGAGTGCTGCTCCTCTTGTTGCTGCTGATGTCCCCTTCGTTTGCGTGGTGGAGGTTTCTCCGTTTGCGTGGAGGTGTTTTCTCCGTTTGCGTGGTGGGGGTTTCTCCGTTTGCGTGGAGGGGTTTTCTCCGTTTGCGTGGAGGGGTTTTCTCCGCAATCTTAAGGGGGTTTCGTCCCAACACGAAGCCCCCAGACAGGAATGGGAATTGGCCAATATATCGCCAAAGCGGTAGGGACCCGCCCTTGAAAGCGAGACTTAAGCCTCATGTAGATATTCTTAACTACAGTATCATTTATACATATATACACAGTACTGTATCATTACAACTGGTCCTGGGCCTTCCCTGGATAGTTATACAGAACTGTGTCTATAAGTAAAATATCGCTAAGAATGTATGCATGTATGTAGCATGTATGTATGTAGCATGTATGTAGAACTCCCTCCGCAACTGGGATTCGGAGGTGCGGGGGAAGGACAACGAAACTAAACACATACAAATACGTTTTAAAGATGAATTTTCAATCTCGATATAAAAGTGCATAGCTCCAGTGGCTTCCTAACATCAGAAGGAAGAGCGTTCCAGACGGCCGCAGAAGCCAGAAGGACACCGTGGCCGGTTCCTATTGGGATACGCAGAGCGATTTAGCGCGTTCCGTGTCAGAACTCTGTCGCCAAACGGACGCCAATGGTGGAGTCGTCGCGCGCTGCGACTCACGGCGGATTTTGCTTCATTCCAATTAGCGCAGCTGGTGACGGATCTGTGATTGGATGATTTGTCACGTGCAGCTCACTTGTTGATCGATCACATTCCCGCGATTATAAGTGTCACGTTTAATTGAGAAGGGCCATTGCCCGAAGCGTCGCCTATTACTCTATACACTCTCTCCTTTGGCCACTGCGTTATTGACGGATGTGTTTTGGACAGCATCCGTCACGCGCAGCTTATTTTGACCTAAGACGCATTCACTGTGCGCTAAACGCATGCACTCAACCAGATACATAGTATGTGTACTCGCGTGTGTGTGTGTGTGTCTTATTAGCGGGAGGTAGCGGGGAGCTGTGGTGAAGCGGTTAGCGCGCTGCGCTACGAACCCGTCGGCCTGCGTTCGTACTCCCGCTTACGGTCACTAACACCAGTGACGAATATCTGAATCGGTCCAGGGCCTCCCCTAAATGGACTCTGCTTCAAATGAGTACCTGGTGCGGTGGGTGTATACACATCGCCACTAGGGAGACAAAGGCAGTCGGGCGTGGTGCTGGCCACCCACCCCCTCGTGTACCGTGCTGGCCTTCATAGGTGCTATACGTGAATGATGTAAAATCTGCCTTTACGCGTGTAGAGATAATGTCACCTTAAAAACAAGCAGCACATTTTTAATGATGTTGTTTTTTGTATTATAAATAAATTATATGAATTTGTTGCGTAATTTTTTGTAAGCGTGGTGGGACCAGATTGGGAACAGATGCAGTGATTTTTAGAGACAGTACTTATTTTAATAAGGCAATTAATTCGGCAATTAAAATATCCTATGTTTTTATTTCATTGGTAGAGCCCATGCAGGTATAACTTGGCATTGACTTTAAAGTCTCAATTCGCTATTACCTGGGTATAATTACATTTGCAATCTAATTGGAATATATTTATCCAATATTGTAAACACGGCCTTACAAAAAACCCTATAAATATTCATCCCGTCGATTGTATCCCGTCAGTGAAACTATTAATGCCGATAATATTCTGCATTACATCTTATTGAGTGACATGACAGCATATTCGCTGTGATGGTGGCGTGGTGGCCCAGTGGTTAGCGGCACTACGCTATGGGCCCGGTAGATTTGGGATTTTCCGGTCATGGCGAGTGGATGTCTCCAATCACCAAACACTCGATGGTGACCAGCAGAGTGAAGTATGGTCCACAACACCCCCCCCCCTCTCTCGTGGATCGACGGAACGTCTTGGGGGTCGGCCTTCATTCAACATCCAATCAGTGGATTGAAAAAGGGTTGTTCCTCTTCTTAAAATATTACGGTATAATGTGTTTACAGTTAAGTAATATATATTGGTTTCTCTCCTGACGCTGTTGTCCTTATACTGCGTAGTGTGTCCGCATCACATTGTAACGTGGTGAGACTGAATGGGGTTTAAAGTACGGACGGTAATGCAAGGTGTTCGCATTTCTCTTATTTCCAGTCTGATAATAATATCATAATTATAACAATCGTTCGTAGTGGGATATATTGAGCGCAAATATTCACGACCCGACGTGAGAGCCTTCCAATAGTAGCAAAGACAAAGATCCCCCGTATAGCCTTAACAGACTGTTAGGGCAAGTGCTGTTAGCGAGTGCCTACGAAGGTTGGAACAGTACACAAGGGGATGGATGAGTGGCCAGCACCACGCCCGGCCGCCTTTGTCTCCCCAGTAGCGATGTTTTTATTCATTTGAGACTGAGTCGACCTAGGGGAGGCCCAGTACCGGTTCAGATAATCGTCACTGATGTTGGCCGTGAGCGAGAATCGAACTCTGGTGGCTGAGTTGGTAGCGCAGCGTAGCGCTAACCGCTACACTACCTCTGCAATAGTGGCGACACGGTAGGTACATTTATATCTATATCTAAGATTGTTTTATTGGTGTTAAATAAGCCCGGCTGTTGATAGTGCAAAACATTGAAGTGAATGTGAAAACAGGAATCATATGTTGAATTCAGACAGCGGTTAACCACCACGATTGCCCTATACCTAAATGGCGTGGACGATAAGTTCACGTGAATGCGGAACTCGGCGCGCGCTGGATAGCGAGTATCTAACTCATCTCGGTTGTTTCCACTTCTTGAGTTGAGGCAGCGTATCAAACAATGGGTCAGACTCGCATTCGTGTGCGTTCAGCCAGAATTGAAGGGAAATCTGAGCAAAAGTTACAATCATTCCACGAACGCACACCGGGGTTTACGAAGTTCAAATTGCGTGTTGCTGTTTCTTGGTATTGCTGCTCATTGGTTAGCGCACTGTGCTACGAACCCCGCGGCATCCGCGAGAATTCCCGGCCACAGCTCACTTCAATGGGTTCATGATTCCTGCAACTGTCCACGAATGGGAACCGTCTATCTGTCGCTTCACTAAATCTGCGCTGACCCGAACGGTGAAGTATGGCCAAACATCTCCCGTGACCGACATTCAAAAGTGAATTGGTAAACGGGCTTCAATGTGCATTCATTTCAAGACGACAACTGTGGCAATGTAATTTATATAACGTGTTCCTATACGGTCCACATCACGCACTTACATTTGCCTATTCTATAAATGTGATATGGTTACATTTTTTTTAACATTTCAACACGAGATGCCTCGCATGATTGCCACAACTGAAAAAACATAACATTCTAGTGAAACAGGAACTGGCCAAACCAACTCAGTTATGCCAGCCTCTTTTAAAATATATTGCTGCGACCCACTGTGTGTTGTACTGCTCAATACAGGACAGAGGTCTGCGTGTATCAGAAACCTGAATATTTATGTAGACAGGAGGAACCCGATGAGCTATAAAGCTCTTTTCCACGGATGTCCAATTTAGGGTATTTGGCTGCTATAAATGTCCACGTGATATGCCACTTTGTTGAGCTATCATTTGTGGCCTGAAAAAGAGCTACGATATATAGCTCAGTGGGCATTACCTGGTAAAATAGTTGTTAGTTTAGTATGGTTGTGATAGGAGGTAGAAGCGGCAGCAGCAGCAGCAGCAGCTTTGAAATACATTAATCCAGCCGTGGATTGATAATGGCTGACAGTAAAATCATCCTATATGCATTCGTTCTTCACATCACCCATTGCCATTGATAAGTGAGCTATAGGGTTTTATTGTGTGTAATTCGCGCTAGTGGCGGCTGTAAAGTTTACATCAATTCGTAGCTTTAACACGGGCACGGCACGGGTACGTTGCGTACAATCTGATTTATTTTTCGAGGATGATTCAAATTGCACGCAAGTAATAATAATGGCACTGTGGTCATGTTGCATTCAGGCGGAACGAATGAGAAACGATAGCTCAACTCGCCGCCCTTAATCAAACAAGTGGTGGGAAATTTATCTAATCGATACACCCTTAAAGATACCAATATATCACTTAATTAAATTCGGGGTGTGTACAGCGTTTAAATGCAAGACGCTTCTCAATAAACAGTGGGTCATAGACACAGCGGGTATATGTATTTACTATCGCTATACATATGCAA